CATTTTGCCGCGTGGCATCAATTTGACCACCCAATCAGTTTATCCGATGCCGATGTAATCATGCTGTAGAATCATAGAGATGCCTCTATAACAGGTACGACTTCTACCCTCATGCCGCTCTGTGCTTGAGTACTGCCACGAGGGAGATGTTGTCGTCCCTTGTCAAGAAGACAGTAACTTGTTATTCTCTGGCGTTTGTCAGGTTTAGTTGGTGCAATACATGCATATTTCATTTCATTCATTAAACGTGCAATAGCACATGAAACCATAAAAAAACGAACAAAAGCAAAAAAACAACAAATATAACATAGTGAAAACTAGATCATGTCGCTACCCTGCAAACAACAAACATTTCAAATGAAATAACCAACCCGCTTTTTGAAAGACACATATCTCAAAGGAAACACATTCGAAGGTAGGAGCGAGTTGAAGTTGGTACAAACTCTATTACTAAAAAACCTTGACCTGTACTGAGTCCTAGCAAACGTGGCACTAAGTCTGATACTGCTCCTCTTGTATTAGTAGACAGTACTTGGAAAAACTGTTCAACGTCCAATTTCACTAAGCCATTCAATATTTTGTAAGCCATCAGCAAATCATATCTCTTTCTCCTCCACTCGAGGGATTAAGGCCATACGTCGTATTCCTCATTGATCCTCTAGGTATATCCAACTAGTTTAAGCCCAGACATCTGAGCATTAGCTTACGAGTAAAGTGTTCTGAACGGTTTCCTCCATATGTTTTGTTGAACTTTACCACAGTTGTTAGATTTGTTTCAATGAAGGGAAATGTTAACGTAACGAGACGAGAACATTCCCGGAAACAGGCTTCTCCACACAACCGAGCTGGTTTGTAAGGTATCAGAATGAAGAATATGCCTTCAAATGGCATACTTGGCTTATTTCCACTGCTAGACACACAGGAACGCGAATGAATAGAAAGCTGAAAAATGCAAAAAAAATTTGATGCAAGGAGGATCCGATCCACAAAGTCCCGTATCGTCGTCCCATCCAGAATCCATCGAGTTATCCGCTGCGCCATCCGATCCGCCGACAGTGAGCATGAGGGGACCGCTGACAAAAACATCACTGTTGCGTCGGTGCATGCCAAGTGTGTTACTACATGATACTTACATTTTGACTTTATTTGAAACTATTTTCGAAGCCTAATTAACGAGCACCTCATAAACTATGCATGCTCGAAGTTACAATCAGAACGGAGCCCATTAAGATAGTTAAAATCGCCCATTCTTGTCAAATTCTTTTCACTCAGTTTTTGACCTACCCTCAGAACATAGCAAAAATCCATTTGCCAAAACAGCGCGCCACGGCCTGAACGACCTGCTCTGTATCTGCTTCGAGGTGACCCATATTCAACTACTTCACGTGGAACCCTTCTCCACTTCAGTCTTCAAGGATCGAACTTAAATATTTGCTACTACCACCGAGATCTGCACTGACGGAAGCTCCAGCTGGGCCTACGCCCAAAGCCTTCGACGCAACCGCCACGACCCTCCTACTCGTTGCGGCCAGGCGCTAGACAACGCACAAGCCAGCAACGGCTGGGTATAGGTCTCTCGCTCAAGCGCCACACGACTAGTTGATTCGACAGGTGAGTTTTTGCACACTCTTTAGCTGGTACCGACTTCCATGGCCACCGTTCTTCTGTCTATATCAACCAACGCCTTTTATGGGGTCTCATGAGCGAAAAGTTAGGCACCTTAATCCCAACGTTTGGTTCACCCCACAACGCCAGTTCTGCTTGGTTGAAGTCGTTTGACCCCAAGTCCACTAATCATTCGCTTGGCCGCATATAACCGCAATGAACTCCAGCTATCGTGCGGGAAACTTTGGAGGGAACCAGCTACTAGATGGTGATGGTAAAACCTGACTCAACAACTTTCCAGCTTCTGCCCAAGTTTGTGGCAGCTAAGTAGGTGAAACAATCTATGTAGTCAGACAAAGGCTAGTCTGTAATCAGCTGAGGTCCTGAATGCTGGTGGCCAAATGCTACAATATTCATGGAATTTCGATTGATGTTTATGAATCAGACAATTACAATCAGTTTATTAAGCATAAATGTTTGTTAATTATATTTCCTCAGAAGATTATACTGTACATTTGGAACAACACCACATTGCAATGCTGGTGATCTATACACGTGTCACATCGGTATTATTTTCTAAGTGAGCGTTGAGGAATGGCTTTGGCTCTTAATTACATACGATTTCAAGAAATATCAATTTTGCTCGGCTCTTGCCTCCATTTCCATAAGTTTCTTTTCGTTAGAGAATTGGAAACCTGCCATCTCCAGAATGGTTTTATCTGGATTGTCATCCCAGTTTCCAGGGAGCGGCACCTACAAAAAGTTTTTCAAACGATGTAATCTGCGCCGTCGAAACTGAAATCACTTCTAACATCTGAAGAAACCTGCCAGTGTATATCAGTCGTTTTCGTAGATAGAGAAAGCAATGCTTTCAAAGAACCAGAACGAACCTTTTTGATTTTCTCTGCTTGCTTGCTCTGCCACACTCTTAGTCGTTGTTGGTCTTGGAGAGCGCTTGAGGGAGCACATCCCCAAACCTATAAATGTCATCCCGTGGAAGTTCGACCATAGTACTGATAAATAGATTCTCAAACTTATTCAGATGTGAATGATTTTTGCAAAAGTGATCGGACTGAGGAAGCAATGCAAAACCGTGAAACTCATCAGAGAAAAAAACATCCCAAAGCAAGGCAAACGCCATCGTAATCAATATATTCCTTCCAAATGGACCCAGCAATGATCGATGCCTAGGCTCCAGAAATGGTCAACACCACAACTCATATGAAGCTCGGGACAAGGTGTTTAAACTATTCGCTACCCAAGCGTTGACCACTGATTGTCACCACTGTTGGCTAATGTAGCCCAATCGTTTCTGTGGATATGTTCTCATTCGGAGATTATGAATTTTCAGCCTTGTTTGGAGAATTATGAAGCGGCCTATACTACCTTTCACCTTCACCATTTTCGGAAGGACACTGCACTGTGACTGCTTCATTTAGTGTTGAAGAACACAGGACAGCTTTGCTGAACAACCGCCGGTTGAACAATCTTCACCTGAAGTGGGAGTTTGCACATCAGTGCCTAGGTTTTCAGCTCAAGAATTCTTCAAAAACTGGAATCGCAATATTGCCACTGCAAAGAAGATACGGAATAACAGCAGGAATGTGGGACCTTACAGCTTAGTAGACAACCTCCCAGGAATCAGGTGCGCTACGTGACCCTCACTCTACCCTTCCGAAAATAGAAACTTGATGAAGTTTGGAACCACAGGTAGATTACGTGCTTCTGAACCATAGTTTAGCTGAACTGGCTATTCCATTTAGCGTTTGATCATGGTACCACAAAAAGCGCTTTTTTTCTGTAGATTATTCACTAGTAGGTCTCTTCTCCAAAGAATCCAAAATAGGACATTAGTCAGTCGAAGCAATGTTCCCAGTACCACATCGAGAGCTGATGGTCTTTTCAGTGCTGCGTCGTCCTCGAAATAACTTTTCAAGCCATATTTCACACTGGGAAGCTCACAATGTAAGAAAACGCACTCGGAACGCACATCAAAGCATTGTGGTTCATTTTTGACCCGAAGTAGAGAAAGATAGACTATCGATGGTGCAAGTCGTTCGGCCTTCGTTAGTCGCAGGTAGTTCGGTACCCGCGCACTCTCTGAACGAAAAGCCTTACAAAGGAATTACTTGAACTTCTTACTTTGACTAGTCTCAAATGGTGGTTGCAAATTAAAAATGACAGGGGAATCTACCAAACGAGTACTGCGTAGTGGGTTACAGCAACCAAAGTTTGCTGTTACTGCAATGGTGACATGTGTGAGCACTGTTGACTAGTTAGCTGTCAGTGAAACCTTGTCCTAGTATTATTTGTTCCGCTTCACTAGAGCCTGTGCTGGTTTGCTACCCGTTGGCGCAAAAACTTTCGCATTGTTCTCGACAGGAGCTTTTGCTCCACATCGACATTCTATCGAACGTTCCAGAGCCCGTAATGAAGTGGCGCGGGGGTTTTTTGACTCACATTCAAAACTGGTCACTATCTACCCGTTGCGACACACCCTACCCACCTCCCAAATTGTTTACGGGGTTTCATCCCTGTAAACAAGTACAGTATCCGCTGGACGAGAAAACATTTTTAGCCTGCGACATGGGGTACAGGCGCGGGGCCATCATAGAACAATTCGCTGAAATCTTTCTCCAGGAAGAGCTTAACTTCCAAAGTGCGCACATTACGCCAGTTTACTTCAAATCGTTCGCCTTAGAGATATAGGCACCATGCATTGTCAACGTTGGTGTCGTCAGCATCAGTGAAATGGCCATTTTCGCGTCAAACAGAAATACTCGTTTCCAGGGGATCAAACAACTGCAGAGGAGAAGATGAGATTCCGGCTCAAATTTCAAACTGTAGGATAGCAGTTCGGGAAGGAGGAGACCAATTTTACATTTGATCTGCTACATCATATACTTGACGTACGCACGGAATGTCGAAAGTAGAGAAAAACTCTTGGTGGAATTAAAGCAAATGTTTTTGCGTCAACCGGTAGAAAACCCGCGTGCTTGCGGAGCAAGATAGTTACCTTTAGGTCAAGGTGGCACTGGTACCTCACCGGCTATGCTTACATGCCAACACACTACAGTTGCACCAAAGTTAGATCGCCCAAAACTTGCTTGCAGACTCCCTTAGCATTTTCAAACTGCATCAACTGCAGAGAGTCTGAAAAGCCATCGAGATTCGAGTCTATCAATCTGCGATGTCTAGGTATCTATTCAAACTTCCATGGGAGGTTAAACCCATCCGTTGTTAGATAAGCGAAGGATATAACCTCGCTGAATAGCAGAAGAGAAGACAGAGGCGACGTGACTGCAGTGGTTCACCCTCATTGTGACAACTGGTGACCACAAGGCTGTGGTGCTTCCGGACCTTTCACTAGAGGTACTCACATGCTCAAATTGAAATGGAAATAACTGCAATATGACAACCCTACCTCAATTGCCGTGACATTGCTCATTTCTTTATCGATCTTCATCTTTTCCAAGAACGAAAGCCCGAATGCTGCTGATCGTATTTTGAAATTACAATATATGGGAGGCGAAGAAGAAGAGAAACTTCTCAGCTCTGGCGAAATTTCGAATAGTACGGTCGCTGATCCACCATAACGATTGGCGCTATGTCTGGAACCATCAGATTATGGACTCTCTAATTTCAATACGCGATACTATAGGGTCGAACGAGCCTAGAGATGGTATTTGAACCTACAAGGACGACGATTCACTTAGAATGTTAGGCCATTCCCACACATTGACCTCGAAAGGCATAAAAACTACCACAAATTACAATTCGATACTGACCTCCACGTATCTTCCGTTGCCAATACGAAAATACTCTCGTCTGTTAGTTGAAATATGGAAACGGTAGGCCCTTTATAGTCAAAGACGTTGTTTTCGAAGCGATTCACACTTATTCCGTGAACAGCTGTTGAATACAGCGGGGTCCACGAATTATTGACGTTTGCTTTAGAGGGTTCTTCGGAGTCCGAAAATTAAAATGTTCATCATGCCAACTGAATAAGTACAAAATTGTCGATGCTAAAAGTCTACCATTGCTGACTTTTTCGGAAAGAAAGGGCCTGACAGGGAACATTGCACGTACCACATCTGCATCGGAGTCAAAATTTCGGACGAGTATTCTACACTTTCCTGGAAAATCGTAGATATAGAAAGCCAGGGAAAAAACCACGAGCATTCACTAAAACAAACGATCTTACGTATGCATAGCCGAGGAAACCGTGAAGAACAAGGTCGCGCAGTGCATTGCAGAGGGATGGGCACATAGCATGTTTCCAGCTAACCACGTCCTCAACACTTGTGCCTCGTTTACACTGGAAAAATGTAGTAGGAACAACAGTTCATGCATGCGAATCTGTAAAGCCGCGACTATACTCAGCGAATATTCTTGATTGAAGATTGACTCTGCCACTCGAGAAACTCGAGAAAATGTGTGATTCGGGAGAACCCGCGATTCGAGTATCGAACAATTTCGCATAAGGCAGGTTTCATACTTTGCGAATAAGGGAACGGCGATTTGACGTTTGAGAAGAATGCACTTCTCCCAAACATCGAATCGCCTATCCTACTATTCGCTGAATACGAATGCATCTGACCCCTTGTTGCACATTCTCCGGATCGATGGGTGTACGTTCTTCTTATCGCATTCTTTTACCGGTCTCCTCAAAGCGAGAGTTATCCACATTTGAAAGTATGAACTAAGCCTGAGGGCTTGTTAATGGTCGTCTTCAACCGAGTCAAGATGCGAAAGAAAAATCATTAGCTGAAAAATGTACAAAGACTGATGAAAATACGGCGCTCACGTGGCTGGAGGCGCTCCATAGCTCCCTTACCCAAGGCTTAGAGTTCGTTCATAGTCAGCGTAAGCATTTTGAGCGACCAGAACTGCATAGCTACAGAACCATCGTTTTGAGCGTAAGCCAGTTTTTGAGAATCTGAGCGTTGTGGCGTACGCTCGAAACGGTGGATTTATACCACTACTTTCCTAACCGCTCGAAACGCCGTCGTACGCTCAAAACGCTGACGCGAAGTATGGCACTCTAAGGCCCAGAACACAGACGACCAGAGTCGGAAAGGGATAATGGGCAGTGAAAGTCTTAAGTGAGCGTGAGCCTTGGCTTGGAGAACGGACACAGAATCGCTAAAAAAGCCATCTCATGCCTGCCTCTCTACGTTAGCGCCTGGATTAGATTCGTTTCAGACACCAACTTTGTAGAGGAGCATTTGTAAACGCACGCGCAATTGAAACCAGGAAAAACTGAAACGTGTTCACGAACCAAGGAATGCTTACACTACTATTTCGACGAGTAGGATTACGGTACCGTGTGCCAAAGCAAAGAAAGTAATTACTCACCATTTCGCGGGCTAGATTCCCAATAAATGTCTCGTCACCAGTAACAGCTCCTGCTCCTGCAGCTTCAGAACAGTGTTTTATCAAAGTCAGAACAGGCTGGCAGGCTGAAACCAATTCATGCCTTTCAGCTTGGACACTATGGCAACGGAACTGATGAAGGGCTTATCTCACCCCTTACCTTTCACATAAACATCGGTTGAAGTTCCCCACAAACCAGGCGCACGCCGTGCAAATTCGTCGAAAGTTAATTTCCCGTCATAAGGTTGAGAATCGGACAGGTAATTCCACAAGCTCTCCGCAAGTCCTTCGTTAAAAACATCCTGCAAGCTAATCTGTGATAGTTTCTTATTCTATTATAAGCATATTACTATTTTCAACCTTTCTGAACTAGTTAGTATGCTCAAGCGGCGGCGTTTCTATGCCCCATCATCTTACCCAGTGCTTATGGTTAAACGTAGTGGAGCGCAGACAACCAAAGTCACCGCGCCCCTTCTCGTTGAGAAGACATAGCTTCCATTAAGCCTAAGCCTTGGGTTGGGGAAGAGCATGGGGAGCAGCCAAGCAGGGTCAAACATCACGTCGCGGGAAATCATCGGACCCCACCAGAAAGATGAGTCCATACGATCCTACTCCTCCAGCCCACCTCCCCTCAATCATTCTTAGAGTGCAAACGATCTTCTCCCCAAGCGAAAGTGAGTTTGAAGTTTCTAGAAGGGGTGCATACGAAATACCCTAAAACTATCATAAAGCTTGCATGGCGGCTTCACACCAGAAACAACGCGGAAAATTTTTGCTGATTGCAGGTATTTCATGTATTCATGTATAACTTTGTTCTGGGGCAACGCGGGGCGGAAACCAACACGATTTTAAAAACTAAGTATTTGCTTCTCA